TGAAATTTGAGAAGCACTGCTCTGAGAGAACATGGATGTGATCTCTAGCCCCATTTTTGCTGGTCAGACAATCCTTCACATGTGTCAGGAAAGAGCAGAATGACAGAGGATGAAGAGCAGACAACCAGAGAACATGAGGCACACAGGGAAAACACAGAGAAGGAGGCAGAGAGCGCAGCTACACAGAGGCCTAGAAGTAAGTACTTGGGAAAGTGTGTGGTTAACCATTCCGAGACAGGAGTCTGAAAGGAAAGAAGGGACCAGAGAACCAACGATCAGGCCTTAGGCACTAGGTTTCTCTCTCAAAGGCCTGTCTCTGTGCTTCACACACAGGAAGGCTCAGTTAAACCAAATTCAGCTGCTCTGTCTTTTGAAATGTTGCTTCATCACTGGTAAACTACATAAAATCAAGCTTTCTCCTTGACACTACTTCAAGGAGAGCAGTAATTCTAGGGGCCCTGGAGGAAAGGGTAACTCGGCCTCGGGAAGCTACTGTTTTTAGTTCCTGACACCCACTCGATGACACACTCCTTAAAAGTCCTCTTGGACCTAATTCATACCAATGGCACCTAGCAAACAGGTAAGTATGGCATTAGGTAAATAATAAATAAGTAATTTGTTGCATCGACAAAAACACACCTTATTTTTACTAAAAATGTTCTTCTTCTTGAAGGAGAATAAAATAATATCCCTAAAATCAGCTGGATGTTTGACATGAATATCTTCTGAACGGTACTGGAGCACCCGAGAAGTCTTGTTGATGAGCCAGTAAGGACTAAAGACGGACAGCTCCATCTGGCTGCCAACGCGCTTGACATGCACTGACAGGTCGACGGTCAGCGCTTCAGCGGAATCAGAAGAAAAACACACAAGAAAGAATTCAGGAAGTGTATCATGTATGCGGAAACATCCACGCCAGTTTTTGCCCTGATATTTCACCAGAAACAGTTCCATTATTTCCCCACTGATTCTTGAATGCAGAACATCGGCAGCACTGCCTTCTGCTAGCTCATGGGTTTCTGCTGTTCCCTAAAAACAAACAGACAAAAACTCAATCTGCTTACTAATTTAAAAAAAAAAACCTTTGCAGTAACTTGTAACTTCCATATTTTATACATACAATAATAACTTACCAGATTCAGATTAATTGACAACTGTTCATAGTACCACCATGTTGACATAGTATAAATGCCCATCATTTACTAAGGACTAAAAGGAAAACACTGTATCATAGCCAAAGGCAGAAACTGTCTTTTGGCCACTAGCAGGCCAATGGCTGTAAGTTCTGAGAAAAAGTCGGACCTCTGCCAAGAATCAAAGGCTGGATTCAGGGACACTAGCTGTTTTCCACCGAGAGCTACATCCTTGAACAAACCACTTAACTATCTGGGCTTCAGCTTCTTCCTCTACTCACAAACCATGCCTAGTGGTTCTCATATAAACAGAATAAGGAAAGTGATATCAAACTATTCTGACAAGCTACCTGAGGTGGAACCATCTTAAAAATGAGTAACAGCAACATAATAAATCAAGCTTCCTTACTGAAAGCTTCTCTTGTATAAATACTACTTAGTTCATCTAACTAACTTTATTCTCCACAACTCAGGGACGGCTTATCATCAGATTAAAAAAAAAAAAACTAACATAGGTTCCAAGCACTTTTCAGATTTTTGTATTCTGAAATGTTGCAGCATGTAGAAATTTAAAGGTGTTTATCAGACTTCATGACTAGAAAATGTTCCCTAATATTTAAGACAGATAGTAATTATTTTTAAGTCCAAAGAAACTTGAACCAAAAAATCATCACTTTAAAATAAAAATTTTTAAATTAACTTTATAATAAATTCAGATGAAATATTTTCTCACTGGTTTTTCCCATACTTTAGCTAATAGAATTTTACTTAGTCAATAAAGAGATTGTTATAAGTATGAATTTATAGCAGATGCAGCAGAGTTCAGTGGTGGAGAATAAGGGGTCAAATTGCTTAGGTTCAAATCCCAGCTCTACAATCTATTGGGATCTCGGGCTGTCAGCCCCTCTATGACTTAGTTTCCTCATCTTCAGGAGGTTACTGAAAGGATTAAATGTGTTAATATATGCAAAGCACACAAAACAGTGGCTGGCACAGAGTAGATGCTATACTAGTTCTTGCTATTATTAATATTATTAAAGCATTACCA